TGAGCACTAGCTGTGCATAAAGCGTGTGGCGGGGGGTGCAGTCCCCAGGGGCACAGCCAGGAAGCGGCCCGATTTACGACTAGTCTGCTGTCCCAACTCAGATCTCTTTTTCGGGCTTGTGCCAACAGTACTGGAAAAAACATTTTTCTGAAGCAATTTTTCCAAAATGGAATAATAACATGGGATTAAAGCAGCCCACACTTAAAACAACTTGAAATATTTCTCTTGCCTTCCATGGGAACTGCACTTGCCAGCTTGAGGAATGCCAGCAGCTGCATTTCTGGAAGCCCCTGTGCAGAAGCAGACACAGAGCGTGAACACCGTTCACAGTGCATGGAGAGGGTGATGCTTTTCCAAATGGGTTGTTTGGGGTATTAGGATATCTCGGGAGAGAGACACAGTAATTTCAGTCTCCCGGATATTCGTTGGGAGACTCACTCGGCAGTGACAGCCAGGTCACGTTGCTTCCTAGAGGCTATAGAGGGAGGGTTTTTCACACAGAGGGTCTGAGAGATGGTGGGGTGGGGGGACATGCTTGACTTGGTCTTGACCAACAGGGAGGACCTGATAGATGAGGTACAGATTAAGGGAGCTCTGGATGCGAGTGATCCCTCCATCCTCTGCTTTGAGATCAGGGGACTGGGGACGTGCAGCAGGTCGAGCACCAGAAGCTGGGACTTCAAGAGGGCCAACTTTGGCCAACTGAAGGCCAGACTGGGGAAAGTCTGAGGAGTTTTGGGATACACCAAAGCACTGTCCACTGCCATGTCGTGAGCAGGGCCAGCTGGAGCTGGGGTCAGACTAGATGGCCCGGGAGGCCGCTTCTGACTCGCCCCGTTTCTGTATTACGGCAACACAGCATTCTCACTGAGGACTAAATGGCACACAATGCTGCCTGAGTCACAGGTCCCATGAATCAAGTTTTGCCTCTGTGCAGCAGGGGCTGGGCACAGATTAGGAGTGGTAGGAACGGGACGGGGGGGGGGGGGTGTTTCTATCCTTTGCCCTCCCGCTGGAGAAAAAAATCCTCCCCCACAGAGCTTGCTGTTAGGCCCAGAAAGGAAGCTCCTGTTGGCACCATTCATGACGCAAACTCCTTACACCAAGAAAGCAGATCTGAGCCCTGTGTACCATAGGAATCCCTTGGAGACCTTGTTTGTGCGTGCCACTTAATGACTGGACCTGACATCCTCGAACAGACGGAGCTGCAGTGGAGACCCTCCTGCCCCAGGGTTCAGCAGCCTGGCGAGGCAGCTTCAGGCAGGGCGCGTGGCGGGGGGAGCAGGGAGCTGAAGCAGGCAACAGGCTCCTGCTCCGGGGCACCCAGTTCCCACTGGGGGGCAGAGCCTTGGCTGCCTCATGGTCTGCTCTGCATGCCCTGCCTAAACAGGCCGGTGAGGCAGAAGATGCTGCCCAGGAGACGCTTCTGCGGAGAATGATTTCGCCACGAGCCTTGATGGTGTTACAGCTGACCAGACAGGCTGGCTCTGTGGGTCCACAGAAGAGTGTTTCAGAAATCCATGATAGAAGGTGATTGTAATGGGAAGGTCCCGTTCCAGCCTTCTTTAGTGCACTCACACGAAGTCCTGTGATCTTCATTCTTTCCATTCCTTGCTTTACAATTCCCCGTTTGCCTTGATCCGTATGTTCTCAAGCCCCCGTCCCAGCTGGATATGCTGCACAGCACCAGGCCTCCCTTTCACTGCTGTGCGCGCCCGCCACTGGGCTCCCTTTCAGGCTGACCTCATGGCACCATGAGCGACGGCACCCCCTGACCTAGTCCTTTGCCCTTCTCCAGGAGCTCATAAAGGGCCTTCCAAGCACTTGCTCGGACCCACATTGGAGGTGGACGGCAGCAGGCACCTTAGGAGCTGAATGCGGCCCCCACCATTACACTGATCAGCCTGGGGTGGGGGAAATGGGCACGGTCTCTAGGCACCTGGTGGGTGTGAAATGTTCGCCTGCAATGCTGCCGCGTCACCAGGAGAGGGCGGCATTGAACAGAGAACTCTCTCCCCGGTTGTCTCAACTATCCCGAAGCATCCCTTCACTGCCAGCCAAGGCCGCGGCTGCAGCAGGTTGCAGTGGGAAACAAAGCACGCAACCCGCAGTGTGACACTGCCTGCTTAGCGCCTTGGTGTTGCATGCAAGCTTGACAGGTACGCACAGCGCCCCTTAGTTTGTGTACGCAGTGCCCCCACATCTGCGCACACAAGTAGTCAGATCCTGTTTGTGTGCATTGCATTGCACGGATACATGTATTTACTTGTTTGACATATTTAAGGATCATTTTCACATGGTTTTGACTCCAGCAGTTAATGAGTCTGGGCTTTTTTTAATGTTCAGTCAGAAGGACTTCAAAAGGTAATAATATGGCAGCAAAAGGGTTTGCAGATGGCTGCACAGTTGTTGTCTCATCTGCACTTTGCTTCAGGGTTGAAATGGTAATTAAGGAAGTTCTTGCAGACAAAACAGGTCCTGCCAGACAAACCTTGTGGAATTCTATGACAAGGTTTCGAGGTGGCTAGACGGAGGGGATGCAGTGGATGTGGTTCACCTGGATTACAGCAAGGCCTTTGGCAAAGTGCCCCATATTATATCCTCCTTGAGCAATTGAGTTTTGAGATAGACCAATGCACAGTCCGATGGATAGGGCACGGGTCCTCAAGCTACGGCCTGTGGGCTGGATCCAGCCCACCATGTCCATTTATCCAGCCCGCCTCAGAGGTTTTGGACTCCCTGCGCCTGCCGCTGCCGCTGCTGCCTCTGCCTGGCTTGCCACTGCCTTACTTGCTTGGAGAACATTTCAGACTCGCTCAGAGAAAACGGTCTCCAAGCAAGCAAGCCGCCACCTCGCCGCATGCGCCCACTCGCACCCCACCTTACCACCTTTCAACTGGCCCCCTGTTGAAAAAGTTAGAGGACCCCTGGATTAGGGCATGGTTGACTGTCTGAAAGCAGAGGGCAACCATTAGTGGAGAATCACCAGGATGGTGGCCAGTGACAAGCGGAGCCCCCCAGGGCTGTCCTGGGGTCGATCCTGTTTAATATTTTCATCAACAACATGGAATAAGGGGTGAACAGTCTGCTGATCAAATTCGCAGATGATACTAAAACTGGAGCAGTGGCCACAACTGAGGAGCAGGTACTCCAGATCTTTTTGGATCTATGGAAGTTGGCAGGAGACAACAGGATGGCGTTCAATGTGGAAAAGTGCAAGGTCTTGCACTTGGGGCACAGGAATGGGTGTCTTAAGTACAGGTTAGTGAACAAGTAGCTGGAGAGCAGCACTTGTGAAAGGGACCTCGGGGTGCAGGTTGACTGCAGGCTAAACATGAGCCAGCCGTGTGATGTGGTGGCCAAGAGAGCGAACAGCACCCTTGGTTGCATAGCCAGAAGCATGGCTTCTAGATCAAGAGAGGTATTACTACCACTCTACACGACTCTGGTGTGCCCGCAACTGGAGTATTGTGCTCAGTTCAGGGCTCCACATTACAGAAAGGATATAGCCAGGTTAGAGTCAGTGCAGTGTAGGGCCACAAGGTTGGTGGCCGGTTTGCAGGGAAAGCTGTATGAGGAGAGACTGGGGGAACTGGGTCTTTTCAGCCTGGAGGAGACTCATAGGCGATATGTTGGTGACATATAGCTACATAAGGGGATGTTGCGAGGAGGTGGGTAGAGGAAGGCAGGAAATGCTCCAACGGAGCAAAGCTCAGGGAACCAAGGTTCCATTTGGATGCCAGGACCCCAAGGGTGGAATGGGCTTCCACGGGAGGTGGTTGAGGCCCCATCGGTGCGGGTGCTCAAGAACAGGCTGGACATGCACGTGGCAGGCATGTAATGAGCGGAGCTGTCTGGAGCCAGGGGTCAGACTAGATGGCCCGGGAGACCCCTTCCGACTTGCTCAGATTCTTTGTTCCATTGCACTAGTTTGCTGCCAACTGCTGCTATAGCCCCAGTGCCACCTGATTGTGTACAATAAAATCAGCTTCCAAACAAGTGTACAATCCGTTCCTTCCAATAGGAGCTGCATGGGAGGCTCTGGCCCCCTCCTCACAGCCCCTTCCCAGAAGTGGGTCCTTAATTTTTGCCTCTGAGATGGAGAGCCGAGGTTGCAAGCTTTGCCGCAAGCAGCGTGACGAAAACAGGACGGGGGTTCCCTTTGCACCGAGGCCCAACTCTCGAATTCTTTCTGCTGCCCAGGACCACCGCTGGCGTGGGGCGGCTGCGCGTCGTGCCGGGGAAGGCGAGGCCGAAGAGGAGGCCCGGCTGCAGCCCGATGGGCCCGTGAAGGAAGCCGCAGCCCGGACTGACGAGACCTGGGCCGGGCTGCAACGGACGTCCTGGAGGGTTTTCACTCCTGGCTCTGCCGAAGTTGGAGGCGACTGGCCGGGCCGAAGGGGTCCCTCCGCACGCCCAGCCCGCTTCGCTAGAACGAAATGAACGAGGCAACGCGCGCGGGGGGGGGGGGGGCTCGCGCAGCCCCCGCCCCCGCCCCTTGGGAGGGTGTCCCTCCTTGGGTGATGATGTGATTCGAAATCTTACCGACATTGATGGAAGTGAGTCCGGCTTTTCAAAAAGCTGTTGAATAACTTCGGTATTTTCTAGCTGCCCCGGATGCTCTCCACTCGTTCAAGGGCGAGCCGCGTCGTGTGCGGCGGGGCTGGCTGCCTCCCCGGAAAGCGCGTTGCTCCGGCCGCCTCTGCCTCCCCGGGTCGAGGCAGGGAAGAGGCGGCGGCGCGGGGCAAGCGAACGTGCGCGGCCGGGCAGGTGCGGGGGCGCGGCGCCCTTCCGGCGGAGACGCTCCCCCTCCCCTCCCCTCCCCCCCTCCCCAGCGGCGCAGCCAGGCAGCGGGGCCGGGGCGCCCGGGCAGGGCTCCGGAGGGGGCGGGCGGGAGGCGCGCCCCGCGCCCCTCTGGCAGATCCGGCGCTGCTAATTGGCTTGGCTGCGGGCGCAGGCGGAGCGCGGGGCCCGGCGCGCTATAAAGCGGCGCGCGAACAATGCGCCTCGGTCCCGGCCGGGTCGCGCCGATCCGCGGGCCGGGCTCGCGCGAGTGGCGTCCGGCGGGGGCGCGCGCAGGATCCCGGGCCGCGACGCGACGCGGGGCAGCCGGCGAGGTCCCGCCGCGGAGGCCGCCGGGCCGGTGTCCCGGGAGGAAGCGCCGGGGCCGGGGCCGCTGTCCCGCGCACGGCTCGCCCGCCATGGAGCTGGGCCCGCCGGCGGCCGCCTTCTGCGCCCCCCACGAGCCGCCGGGCGAGGACTGGCCCCGCTCGGGCGCGGCCGGCGAGGACCCTTGGAAGAAGTTCGAGGCGCTGCTGCCCAGCCCGCCCCCCTCGCCCCTGCCGGGCCTCGCCGCCGCGGACGACGGCCTGCCGGAGCCCGGGGGGCTGCCGGGCAACCGCGGCGCCGTCGTGCTGCGGGACTGCATGTGGAGCGGCCTCTCGGGCCGCGAGCGCTGCGGCAGAGCCCCGGGCGAGCCGCTGGAAGCTGGGCTGGGCGGCCGGTGTGTGGCCCCGGGCGCCGTCTTCGCGTGGCCGGCCGGCGGGGCCACGGCGGCGGACAGCAAGATCCGCGCCTCGTCCGGCTCGGACAGCCAGAGCGACTCCGGTAAGGCTGCGCACAAACGGCCGCTGACCCGGAGGCGGCGGCGTGTCTGGCGCTGGCGGGCTCCGGGAGCGGGCGGCGTCCCCTGCTCGACGCCCCGCGGGCGGTTTGCAGCGCAGCCCTCGCCGCGCTGGGGGCGAGGACGGGAGTCGCGCTCCGGGTCCTCGGGGGAGGGGAAAGTGTCGGGGGAGGCGGCCCAGGTCTGCGCAGGAGTCCGCGGCCGTGAGGAAGTGAGTTCTCACAGCGGCAGCCCGCCGCTCGCCTCCCGAGCCTCGCAGCGCTGGCCCGGCCCGGCCCCTGCGCTTCCTACAGACCGTGCGATCTAGCCCCGTCCAGCCGGTGGGAGGGCTAATGCGGGGCCCCGAGGAGCGGAGGGGACACTCGGCAGGGGTGCGGGAGGGCCCCGAGGAGCGGCGCCTTCCCTGGTGCTCCCGCGGCCGCGGGGCGTTTCTCGCTGCGCTGCTCGGCTCGGTCGCGCGATCAGGAAGCGGAGCGGCCGGCGCGGCGGCGCCCGGGCGGGCCGACATGGCTCGCGTTTGGGCCCTCGCAAACTTCCGCGGGCCGCCCGCTTGCCCTGTGCGCGCGGCGAGTAAAGGCTCCGCGAGGAGCGGGCCGGTCCGGGCCGGGCCGGGCAGGAGGTGCGGCGGTTCGGACCCGCTCTGCGCCCGGGGAGGGAGCCCGCGCAGAAGGCCTGCCGGGGAGGGCGCGTTCCTGTGGACCTGCCCAGGACAGCGTAGCATTCCTCGGGAGCAGCAAGGGGCGCCTGCTCGGGTGCGGCCACCCGCGGCGGGTCCCCGTGGCCAAGGACCCGGAGCCTCTCTGGTGGGGGAGGGGAGTGTGCAGACGGACCCCGTGCCCCAACCGGCGCCCCCACTGCAATGATGGCGCTCCGCCTCCGGCGTGGTGTGTGGAGGTCCACCGCCAAGGGTTTGGGACGGCAGTGCCCATCATCCCCAGCCGGGCTGGGCACAGTGGGGCTTGTCGTCCACAGCGGGGGGCACAGGCTGGTGCGAGCGGCCTGCCACGGTCTGCGGAGAGGCCTTGGCTTTGCCGCCCGACGCCTCTTCCCTTGGGAACCCGCGGGGGATGCCCGCTTCCTCCTCCCTGGCGCAGCCCATTCGGGTCCCCGGCCGGTACCATTCCGCTCGCCCAGCCTCCCGCTTGGCCGCCCCGACCAGGGATGCCCGAGCGCACCAGCAGCACGGGCGCGTCGGGGGTCGGCGCGGCTTGCCTGCCGCTGGGCAGGGAGGGCGGAATGAGTGCGGCGAGCAGCGCCCCAGCCCAGGCTGGGAGTCGAACTGCCGCGCGGCGCGGCGCGGCGCCCCGTCCCGGTCTGGGTCGTGCTGTTGCGAGGCAGCGGCGCAAGGCAGCCCTGCTGAGCGTGCCTGGGGCGCAGAGACAGATTGGTCTGCGGTCTCTGCGCTGGGATGGGCAGGTGCTGAGGAGCTTAATCCGAATCGGCCGGGGGCGGGGCTGCTACTGACTGAAGGGATCGTGCTGACCACCCGCCTCCTTCCGCGAATGTCGCTTTTCGGCGGCAGCCTTTTTCCTGGGACAAAAGGCAACAGATGCGAGTGGATGGGGGCCCCGTCGCCGAGGAGGGGCGAGCCTCGACGGATGGGGGCGCTGGCGGAGGCATTTCGGGGCTGCCCTGTTGCTGGGACACCTGGAGCCCGCTGGGCGCACGACTTTGCCTTTTTAGTTAACGGGGAAACTGTGGCTCTGGAAGAACAAGCGGCCCAAACCTTTGCTTCTTTTAAGGATTCTGCGCTGCTTTTCAGAGGAGCACAACCCATCCAGTCCAAACTGAGGGCACAGCAAAACAGCCTCTGGTGAAACTCCAAGGCAAGGCTGTCTGCTTCCTCTAAACCGAAGGCGTGCGCTAGCGCAGAGGCTGGAGGAATGTGGGGTGACCCTGTTGTGAAGCGCTGCCCGAGGCAGGAGGCTTTCCCTCCAGAACTCCAGGCAAGGAGCGGGGCAGGGGCCCTCCATGCAGCCGCTGCCTCCTTTCCATTGCCGCTAACTGGCTGGGGCAGCAGCGCCCTCCCCCCTGTATGGTCAGGAGTTCTCCTCTTTGTAAGATGGACGGCACTCCCCAACTCTTGAGCAGGATGGCCGTGAAAGTGTGTAAGTGGGGGGAAGCCTATGCAAAGAGGAGGCTCCTCGATCTGTGACAGCACTGAGGAAGTGTTGTGCTTTCTTCTGTTGCCTGCGCGAATTGCCCCTCCCGCCGTGTGCCTCCTGGCGCAGGTCTCTTTGAGCAGGTGCAGGGGCTGGTGATCCGTTTCACAACGAAGGCCGGTGGACCGTGCCGTGCAAGGGCTGCGTGTTCCGGGCGGCCCGTGGGGGACTGGCTGTCTGGAATCGGGCTGCGGAAGGCGAGCATCTGTGCCAGCCTGCACCAGTTCACGCCCGTGTGCACTTCCACGAGGCCACGGCTTGGGCATTCTTGTGCAGGGGCTTCCATGGGGCAGTTGCCGAGCAGCTCCCCTGCCTGTTCAGACCCGTCTCACTCTGGGGCTGGCCAACCACGGGCTGCCTTGGTTCCCTGGCAGTGTGGTTCGGGGGTTTTGGAGAAGGGCGGCAGAGTCCGTGCGCCCTCTGGCAAGAGTCTCCAGGGAAGCAGCAGCAACCTGCCGGCCATCGCTTCCTTAAGGCATTTCACTGCCTTTTCGGTCGTGAAGGGCACTGAGTGCTGCACCACCCAGAGCAGGTGGGAGAATGCCGAACGTACGCACGTGAGAAAGGCTGGAGGCCTGTTTTGTCCAAAGGTGCCTCCCGTTCCTTGGGAGGAAGGCGGTGCTGCACAGCTGCCCCCAGTCTGCTCCTAGGAGCATCTTGCAGTGGCAGCGCTTGTGCCTGGAAGAGCCAGGCTGCCTGTCCTCTGGGGCAGGAAAAGAAAAGAATTGCTCTTGGCCAGGAAAGCATTTACCCCCATCCAGATGACCATTCCTTGTTCGTAGCCCCTGCTCAGGGTCCCTGCCTTGATCCTGTGAGTTGTGAGCCCCCTTTGAGCCCTGCCCTTCCCCTTAAACTGTTCTTCCCAAGAGCCCAGCCAGTGTGCCTGAAGGACAAATGCTGGATGCCTTTTGGTCCATCCCCCGCTTCTGTGCCTTTCAAGGGCCTTTTCTGCTCCACTCCCCCTCCTCTTCAGTACCCTGCATGGGGCCCGGAGGCCCTCTCCTCTCGCTGGGGGGGGGGGGGGGGGGGGGGGGGGGGAAGGAGAGCAGGATTTACTGCTTGTGAAAAGGAGCATATCCCTGAAGTGCAAAGCAGGAGGGACAAAGGGCATCTCCCCACAGCCTCCCACTTCTTTCATTTACAATTCCAATGGGCCCTGGGGGAGCTTGATTGAGCATTCTAGCGGTTGTGTCATTTGCCCCCAATCCTTTGGCTGGGGGTGGCCAGTGGAGGAACATCGTGGTGCTCTGACCTTTTGTTCCTCCCTCCCAGGGGCCTTGGAAGGCCCCCACTCCAGAAACACCAGGGCGGACTTGCAGGGCAAGTGAAACTGCCAAGCCTCTCTTGGGCAGCAATTAAGTTTGTTTGTTTTTTATTTATTTAAAACGTCTGTGTGCCGTCCTTTATGCATGGCATCTCAGGGTGGCTTACAGTCATTACAGTCATTCCGTTGACTCGAGCAAGCTTTGATGGCACCGTGTTGGCTGTGGGACACAACAGATGAGGCTTGCAGCCCTTCCAGTGACTGCAGAGGGTGAAGGATGCACCTTTGCCTTCAAGAATAATGCCACTGAATTGGGTCATTGACTTCCAACTTTGGGCTGAAAGGCAGTGATTTACCTGAAAGTTGCTTAGTGATTCCAGCTGAGAAATAAGCACATCGGGATCTACTGGAGGAAAAGGGTGGAAAAGGTTTCATGGCAAAGGCAGCTCACCCTCAGGGACTCGGGAGGGCAAAGACAAGAGTGAGTTGGCAAGGCTAGGCTAGGCTAGGCTGTCGAGGCTTACTGTGATCCAAGGGTACATCTTATCCACACCTATAAAATGAGCATCACTTAGTGGCTTTTGACATGTGTTGTCTCAGACGTAGGCGAGACAGGAGGAGGAGGAGGAAAACAAGCAAACTGGAGATTACAAAGAAGTTGCCTTCCTAGTGAATGACTCAAGCAATATCACTGGCTCTGACCCCCCACACATACACACAATTCTTGCTGGCATGATCACAGCCCCCTAACTTCTGAAACATGCCCAAGCCTAGAATTTGAGGGTGCCCTGACCCACAGTGGGGTAGGAAAAGGTCACAAGTCTGCCCTGGCATGACAAGCGAGCAGCCTAGCAAATATCACTGCAGATTAGTTAACTCGCAACAGTTTATGTTGGTAAACTACTTTGAAACTCTCTACTTCAGGAAACCTGGCCCAATTTTTAAAAAGAGGTAGTGTGCGGTGCCTTGGAAGGGAAAACCTGATTCCCCTGGACACCTGGGCACTTCTCAGCTGTTCTTCTCTGCACGAGGGCCCTTGCCTGTACATGTGGGGGGGGGCCGGGGGCCATGACCCTGTTCTGCTGGTGTCCCTCAAGGTGCCACGTTGCCTGGCCGGTTGTAGCAGGGGCTGCCCCACCAGGGGAGGGGGGGCAGCAGAGGGCTGGGGCAGGGGGGGACGCCTGTGGGGAAATATTCACCCAGGAGAAAGGCCGCTGTCCTCAGGAGGCTTCAGCAGATTATCTTCTCTTTTGGGGGGAGCGCCCGTTTCCTCTGGCGTCCCTGGTAAGGAGGGAGGTAGCCCCCGTCCCCTGGCACGGTGCTCCAAAACAGCCCCCTGCATGCAAGGGAGTGGGGAGCCAGCTGCGGCTGTTGACAGCTACTAGTCGTTAAAAGGAGGCATTTAATGGACTTCCAATGCGCCCGTCTGGGCTATAACTGTGCAAATAAAATGATACATAAAATGATTATAGTACATTATAATGCTGAAACGACATTGAAACCTTCCTCCATAATTTAACTGCTCAAATTCGAAAGGCATGTCTTAGCTGCTTCCCCCAGAGCCAAGTCTGAGTTCTGGAGGAGGACCCCGCCATAGCCCGGAAGGGGAGCCACCAGCGGGCCTGCCCAGCTTGCCCGCCAGGTGGCCTGCTGCGGTGGGGAGTGTCCTCAGAGGGCCCCTCCACAAGGTCTTCCTAAGGCAAGGTCATCCGGCACCAAGAGCTCCCATGGCCTGGCCCAGTGCTGTGGACTGAGCCAAGGACTGGCCGCCGGCGCAGAGCTGCTGGTCCGGGTTGCTGTACTCGTGGCAGCGGGTGCCAGTTGAAACTCCAGACACACCACACGGGTTGCTCTGCGGGCAGCCGTGTGTTGTAATAGTCCAGCTGCAATGAATTGCCCGATTTCGGAAGGCTTGCAGCTGGTGCACAGGAGGCTTGCTTCCTGGCACCACCAGAGCACCCAGGGACAACGTGGGGTCAGGGAGCGCTCCTGAGACACAGCTCTGGCCTTCTGGGGAAATCCCAAGCCTTTCCAATCCCCTTGCCAATCAGCACGACTGTCCTTCCCATTATGGGACCTGGGCACCGTTTAAGGGCATTCAGCCCTTCTTCAGAGGCAGGTGATGAGCAGAGTTGAGCCCCATGACTGAAGAGGTCCAGACAGCCTCTCCCAGCGGCTTCATGCGTAAACTACATAGCAGGGAAACAAGGTGTGGGGCAGCACAGGCCAATGGCTGTGATGCTCAGCACCAGACAAAGCATCGGAACCGCTGCTATGGGGGCCCCCGAAGCCCCCCAGCTGATCCTGGTTGGTAGTGCTGAAAGCCACTGAGGAGTCTAGGAAACCGACCAGGCTGGTCCTCCACCTAAGCCCCACATCCAATTCTGGTTGTAGGTCATCCACCAAGGTGAGCCAAGCAGTCCCAAATGCCAGGCAAAGGGGACAGAAGGCTCCGGAGTTCATTGCATGTGACAGAAATGGGTCAAGACTGAACTGGCATCATCCAGAGGGGCCTGAGCTGTGCCTGGGGACGCACCTGTCTTGCACCTGCTTCTGGTTTCTGTCCGGCTTCCCATTAGCACGTGTGGCCAGTTGTGGAAACAAAACCCCGGGCTGTCGGTGCCTTCGCTCAGGCCCAGCAGGTCGCCAAAGCCCTTTGCTGTGGTCTCTCAGCCCAGCCGTGGCGGCTTATGTTCCTCTACAGAACATTCTAGACCAAGTGTCCTTTTGGCAGGAGCCCTTCCCCCACACCCTCCTGGCTGCCTCTCGCTTCCTCCTTTTCCACCACAGCAGTGAGCAGCATCTGGCCTGTTCCCTCCCTCAAGAAGAAGGTTTTGGCTGCTTCCTGCTTTCCTTCCCTTTCCTTCCTGCCCTCAGAAGCACTAAGCAGAGCTTTTCTTTTCCCTTCTTCTAGGCTGTCTTCTCTGAGTCTCTTCCCTGTTCTTGCTTTGCCCCTGAGGGACGGATGGCCGCCAGTGCTGTCTTCAAAACCTGCTGCTGCAGCGGGAAGATCCTGCCAGGGTGCTTTCTGTGTCTCAGAGATGCCGACAGAAAGCATTTTTGCTCCTGTTGCAAGGCCTGTGCTAAACAGGCCAGGGCAGATAGGTTTCCAACCCTGCTCCAAGAACTAGCCATAAAGCTGGCAGACTTGGTAGTACAAAACTGGCCCATGCACCGCCCCTTCCCCGCCAACCATCTGCCACGGGCGGCCTCTGCCCCTCGGCTGCCCTCAGGAGGATGCAGCCACCCAGCTTGCCCCTCTGGGGGCATCCACACCTGGGCAGGCCACTGCAGGGCCTGCTGTGGCTGCCAGTGTCACCGTCTTGGGCCGCGCCACACCCACGCTGCAGAAGCGGCTTCTTCTGCGCGCTCCGGTGGGAAAGGGAATGGTCGCTGGACCTTCTGAAAGCGGGGGTTGCTGGCCGCTTCTGGAACAGTGATAACTGCCCCCAAGGGGAGTCGTTCTAAGGCAGGACTGCTTGCAGACGCTACTTCAAAACTGGTGTGTGAGCCTGACTCAGGTTATGCCCTGGAACCTGGCATAGGCTCTCGGCCACCCCGCTGTGCTCCTCCAGGGCCATTTGGGGTGCCCGGCACAACTCTTCAGCTCCTTGTGCGGCTTCGCATGCGGCACTGGTCTGAACGAGACACTGGGAAGCTGCTCCGTGGGGAGGCCAGGCGGTCCGGGGGGCAGGCGTGACCTGCCGCAACAGTGCCCTGCAAAGCCCTGCGACCGCAGGCCTCTTCCACAGACAGGCTCTGCCTCCCCACACCCTCCGCCCCACTCACAGCGCATGTTTTGTCACCTGTGGAGCGGTGGGAGCAGCTGGAGACTGCAAGAGTGTCACGGGCTCTTTTGTGTCCCCTGTTTTGTGCAGAAGGAGAGGAAATTGATGTAGTGACTGTGGAGAAGCGGCAGGCACTCAGCGTGAGGAAGCCGGTCACCATCACGGTCCGGGCAGCCCCCTCGGATCCCTGCACAAAGCACTTTCACCTATCCATCCACCAGCAGCAGCACAACTATGCTGCCCGCTCCCCTTCGGAGGTCCGTCCCCAGGAGGGGCCCTTGGAGAAAGGCACCCAGCGGGACGCAGAGGAGGAGGAGGAGGGCAGTGGTGCTGATGCCCACAGCAATGGCAGTGCACAGTCGCTGGGGCGAGTGGTGGAGAGCTTCTCTCTGGAACCTGTCCTCCCAAAAGCTGGGAGTGCCCCCAGCTCCGATACCGAGGATGTGAGCAAGCGGAGGAACCATAACTACCTGGAGCGCAAGCGGCGCAATGACCTTCGCTCCCGTTTCCTGGCACTGCGGGACCAGGTGCCTGGCCTCGCCGCCTGCCCCAAAACCCCCAAGGTGGTCATTCTGAGCAAAGCATCGGAGTACCTGCAGTCCCTGCTTTCTGCGGAACAGCAGATGGTGGCAGAGAAGCAGCTGCTGAAATTGCATCGGCTGCAGCTGCTGAAACAGATTTCACACCTGAAGGGTGTGCGTTAGCTGGCAAGGATGCCGAGCAGCTTTCCTGTCCGTTCTGCACTTTCTGGGGGTTTCCACTTGTGGACTCTGAAACTGCAGCTCCCCAAGGCACACCTGCAGCTTGTTCTCAGTCTTCTCCCACTACCTGCCACTCTGATGCATTCCACCATGGTTCCCTTTTCCAGCGGATGCGAAGGAATGCACTTCTTGTAGGTGTGTGGGTCTTGCGGGGCTGAACTGCCGAGATTGCGGCTCCTGGGCGAGCCAACAGTGCTCCGTTTGGACTGAGAACCGCACAGCCGGCGTGTGTTTCCAGACCAGCAGGGCACATGTGGCAAGACTGCTCCTTCTTGAGAGAAGCAGGTGCTTCACAGGGGGTCTGTCATCCATGCCTCTCAAGTCAGGCACAAGGATGGTTCTTCCTCCTCAGTCCAGAGGGGCTTCTTCTGCCCTGCCCTCAAGGCCTTTTTGTAAAGGCATGACCACAGGTGTTTCAGCGGGCCACCCCTCCTTCCTGCCACTGTTTCCCATGTTCTCTTTGTTCCCTGCACCCTAGCTCCTGTTTTCCATTTGGGCTCCCTTCCCTTCCTAGGCCTGGTTAGAGGTGGATTTTGAGGCTTCCCAGAACAAATTCCCAGCTGATGGGGCCCCATGTGCCATGTGGCTGGACTTCCACTTGGCCCCTCTTCAGGGGAGGCCTGAATCTGCCACCTGAGGGGTGGGGGGACCTTCCTTTTAGGCCTGTTGGGTGTCTGCTTTTTAACAAACACCACGGCTGAAGCTTCTTCACTGGAAATGCACTGGGGTCACCTTGGATTTGATTTACCTCATTCTTATTTTTCCACATACAATAGACTCCCTTACCTTGGTTTTGCATATCCTACAACCCATTGTTGTGGCTGCCTCATTCTTTATACTGGATGGCTTTTAAAAATATATATATGCTGTATTTTTGTACTTTTTTAGAAGTTATTTTGTAAAAAAAAAGTCTGTTTTCTCTCCCTCCTTTTTATTATACAGAGACTTTCCCCTTTAAGCAGCTGCTCTGACTACCCCTGTTCCAGCAGGTACAGGACAGGTTTGGGAGTACTGGAATTTTTTATGAGGTCAAGGGCTGGTCCCTGCTTCTAAGTTCCAAGCAGCAGTGGTGAGCACAGCAGAAGTGTTGGTGTGTATTTGATGATGATGATGAGGATGATTTTGCAGGGGGGAGCACTTTTCCTAAGGAGGAATCCCAACATTTCAAATGTCCCATACAAAATTTCTGCTGAGGGGTTTGGAGCTGCTAATTCTAACAGTTTTGAAAGGCTTCCCTTTCCAAGCACACACACACTTGGTTCTTTAAACAAAAGAGCTGCAATAATATATTGGGTATGTGTGTACACAACCTTACAAAGGTTCACTCATTACTAAGGTCGGCGGTGTTGGGTGTGGGGTGTTACTGCCAAGAAATGGTGTACAGGATTGGAGCTTTGCTGTTTTCCATGCCCTCAAGTTATCTCTGACTATGGGGACCCTACGGATGAGTGGAAGCCCTCCAGCACGTCCAAGGCAGACCCGCTCAGCGCTCGGAAACCCGAGCCTGTGGCTTCCTTTATGAGATTGGGCCATGCGATTGTTGGTTGGAAGCTTTAGCCCACGCCTAAGGAGGAGTCCACAGAAAGAACAGATCTGCATTGCTCAGCGTCACTGACCATGAGCCAGAAGAACTGTGGACGGAAACCACAGATAATTATTAGATCATTTCTGCAGCAACAAGGAAGAAAGCCTGGCTGGATGACCGGAGATATTCACCGTTGCAAAGGACAGGCCAGAAGCAGAAGGTGATAGAAATAATCCTGAATGCAACTCTTCCGCAACTATCACACAGGGACAAAAAGAACTATGCCAATGACTGGTGCAAAGAAAAAGAACAATGAAAGGCAGAAAATGAGACCTTTTCCAAAAGATTGAAGAAATCAGAGGGAAATTCAAACATAGAGCAGGAATGCTGAAAGACAAACAAGGGAACATACTGTCTGACCAGGAGAAAATCAAGAGAAGTGGAAAGAATATATCGAACTATACAGAAATGATGAAAGGATGGCAGTCAAAGCAGAATCCTACGAAGAAGAGCCTGCAATATTGCATTGTGGAGTGAAAGGTGCTCTGAAGGGACTGGCAAAGAACACAGCAGCTGGAGCAGACAGGGCACCAACACAGCTATTCCAAGCAGCAGAAAACGAAACCCTGACCAAAGATTTGGAAAACCAACACTGGCCTTCAATATACATTCCAGTCTCCAAGAAAGGCGAGGCAGGAGTGTGTGGCAGGCAGAGGACCCTTGCAGCAACCTCCCGCACGCGCAAACTGAGGCTCAAGCGATGCACCATGGAGTCCTGCCCTGCCTGGAGCAGGACATGCTGGCTGGGTCCTGACGCGGTGGAGGCATTCAGGAGCGTATTGCAGGTATATGCTGGCTGTGGGAGCACACCAGAGGAGAAGATGACCTTGCTGCATGACCCGTTCCATGGACAAGAAGCTACAGTTGGGACGGAACAAGGAGCAGCAGAATGTTTTCCACAGGCAAAGGTGTCAGACAAGGATGTATTTTTATCTCCCTATCTGTTCAATCTGTATGCAAGACATATCCTTAAAAAGCTGAATTAAAATCAGGGGAAGGAGTGAAAATGGACAAAAGAAACGTCACTAATTGAAGGTATACAGGTGATACCATACACCTGGCAGAAAGCAGCAATGACTTGAAACGACTCCTGATGAACGTGAAAGGAAGTGTAAAAGCAGGCCTGCAACTGAACATTCAGTAAACTGAAATCATGTTGACGGGAGAACTTTACTCTTAATAACAAAGAAGCTGAACTTGCGAAAGATTGCACCTGCCACTGAAGACGGAGAATTGGAAGGGCAGTGCTGGAGGAACCGGGAAAGACCATCCGGCGTAAGCACGTTCCCCTGGGGACCAAGGCCAGGATCACCCACACTCCCGATCCCAGTCCGTGGGCGGGAAAGCTGGGCAGTGAGGAAGGCTGACAGGAGGGAAATGGACGCGTTCAGAACTTGGTGCTGGAGGAGAGAGCTTGGCGAATACCCTGGACCGACAGAAGACAAGCAGGGCGGCCCTAGAGCAAATCAAGCCAGAGCTTCCCCTGGAAGCAGAAACGACAGTGAGGCTGTCATACTTCAGGCGTTTCACAAGAAGGCGAGACTCCCTGGAGAAGACCATCACGCCAGGGAAAGTGGAAGGCAGAAAGGCAAGGCGAGGCCAAAGATGAGGTGGATGGACGCCAGAAAGGAAGCCGCAGCCTCAGACTTGAAGAGCGCTGCAGGGCTGTCCGGACAAGTCACTGGAGGGGTTTCATTCATGGGGTCACCATCGGCTGAAGACCATGTGACGGTGCAGAGCAACAGCAAGGAGAAGGCACCGCCGGTTCTTGCTGTGGGTTGCAGCCCTGCAGGTGTTCCCTGAGCCGGCCGGCTGGCCTCTCCTCCCACGTGCTGTGCTCCCTGCTTCTCTCAGGCAATGGCGGGTGGCCCCTTGGCACTGGACTCCTGCGCTGCAGCAGTGGCGAGCGCACGCATCCGCTGACCGGCCCAGGAAAGGTCTGGACCGGGTGGCCAGCCCACGAGCACTTTCTGTTTTATCTCATGCCTCTTCAATAAATCAATTGCAAAAAGGCCGGCACTTGTCTTGTGTGGATTGTAATGCTTGTCATCTGAGGGGCACCCTCTTCTCGTGAGCAGACCTGAGAGGGCTGCAGGCTGGGAAAAATGGGTCTTCTTTTGGGAAAGGAAAGCTGCAGGCCAGACATGACCCAGAAGGAGAGCCAGTTGCCTGGAAGTGAAAGAGCCTGGGCATGCATGATGGGGGGGGGTCTTTGCTGCTTGGGGTGTGTGGGGGCTGTAGCTATGGCTTCGGGGGACTGTGTGAACACCCAGTCCTCTTGGGATTGTAAAATACTTCAGCAAGGCTACATATTTTTGTACTAAGAACATTCAGAAAGGTGAGATTATGTCTTACTTGTAGAATTGGTTCTTTGCTAGTTCTAAGGAGACCATGCAAAGGCCTGGGACTCAGTATCCCCAAACATCTGGAACTCCTGTTCCTCTTCCTCCCTGCAAGTAGCTCACTCTTCATTGGGCACTATGGTTTTGGCAGTGCAACCATGCAGCTTTTCTCTATGGTAGGAATTGATGTACTGTGTGCACACCTGCCCCAGAGAATGGATCTGGCTTTCTCTATCAAGCTTTCCTTTCTGTGCTTGTTTTCCCCTTGCAATCAATGTGCAAATATACGGAGGTGTAATTGCCTCCAGTGTAAGGTAGGTGACTCATGTACCCATTTTGCAGACGGAGGTATAAAAACCAATAGATTGTGTCCCTGAGCCACCCAGTGATAGAACTGAAATTGGGAACCAGAGTGAAATACTGTCCTGTTATTTATGTATTTACAAGATTTATGCATGGCTCCATAGTTCAGCCTGGAGATTTCCGAGCAGTGAAGAATAAAGCTAAAATAGAGATCTGTTTTGATCTACCACTATAACCCCACCAGCACCTACCAACATCAGCAGGCAAGATCATGGGGGCCCTTGAGATGCTTTGGGCTCAAGTTCTTGTGTGCTCAAGTTCCTGCCCCTGCTTTGCGTGGACACACCAGGGACCGACCCTGCAGACTGGGCTGGATCTACCCCACACAGGCCACGGACCCACAGACCTTCCACAAGCTACGGGAGACCCCTAACCGCCTCGAACCCAACACAGGCCCTCCAAAGTATCACTCCAGATCAGTTCAGGCTTGATTTTTTCCTCCATGACGTCCGGCTTCTTTGATAATCTTCTAGGGAAGCCTTCTCCCTCCCAGCTTTGTTTTGAACATGGGAGAGTAAAAGCATCGTAAGACTGCAGTGCTGAAAAGTGGCAGGGAGGGTGGATAAATGTGCCAGTGTAGCTGAGGATGCTATAATCGCACCTCCAATGAGATTGCCGCTTTCCAATGGGGATCTCTGCTCTCTGTTGCTATA